ATCCGTAGAGTTAAATAATTAGTTATCCATATCCGTAGAGTTAAATAATTAGTTATCCATATCCGTAGAGTTAAATAATTAGTTATCCATATCCGTAGAATTAAATAATTAGTTGTCCATATCCGTAGAGTTAAATAATTAGTTGTCCATATCCGTAGAGTTAAATACTTAGTTATCCATATCCGTAGAGTTAGGTCGTAATAAAGTTGAACGACACATCAAACACTACTCAGTACAATTAATCGAAAAATAGGTTTAATTTTCGTGAGATGAGATGTTTTTTTCATGTACGAAACAATGTACTTACTTTTATTGATTTGTGTACCGCAGCATTTGTGAACGAGAAATTTTAAAAGTGCAACACATTATTGATTGCAATTCTGATGCACAGGCTAGTAGGAGTCACTTACAGCTACAGTTTTTATCTGCTCCTATAAAAATCGAAACCTTGTCACGCTTACACATTTCCTCGTAGCGAACGTACACTTGAATTGTTCACTGGAATTTGAATAAAAATATATTTTGAAGGTACAATTTATTTCATAAAGTTACAGTTTCTTCAGTCTTATAAACATATTTAAGGATTTTTTTTTTAGGTTTATGGCCTAAATAATTTCTTACAGTTTTCTCGGCTAATCAATCATGTATCATTGTTGCTTTAAGATAATATGTTAAAGGGTTTGACTTCGCAAGATAAAATTAATGTTTTTACGTTCTTTATTCATATAGTAAAGTGAATACAATTTAGTCTTCTGTGTTTTGAAAGTGGTAAGAATATAACACGATGAGAAGGGAAAGGTTTTAAAACCACATTCATTGTATCAATATTAAACGATGTATTGACTACCCACTAACTGGTCGATTAAAGATACTGAATGATTAAATCTACTGATATTTGGTTATGAATTAGTGATAAATCATCTATTAATTAATTACAAATGGTAGATGACATTTGGTAAATTAAAGGTCCTTGTTGTTTATTCTGTAAGCAGATTTCAAGTAATCGTTGGAGACTCTCAATACTTGATAATTAAAGATGTTATAAGTAAGGAATTCTTAATTATTAAAAAATTAGTCAATTCTTTAGCATTATGTAGATTTAGAAAATCTAAAATGATTGGTTCCGAGTAAATCAATGTTATAACTATTTTATGTACTTGCAGAGTTGATTATGATTAACTCTAGAGACTTAATTTCTAAGGTTCTAAGCCCCTATCATTAAAGTGATTATTGTTTTGGAATAACTTAGGATTAAAGGCTCTAGACGCATTATTGTTCAAGTGTTATAGTTGGTTTAATAGAGATTATTTGTTCCTAATAACTGAAGAGACTCGATTGATTGTTAGGCTACAGGTTCTGAATCACTGGAGACGATGTAATCCTTAGAAAAGCAAACATTTGGAGAGGCTGTGCTTAGTTTTGGATACTGTAACTTCGGATTACGAAATTATTGAAGGTACTACATATTAATAGTTGGTAATAATGTAATTTGTCAATTATTATGATATGAAAAATGAGCGGTTTTTATATATATCTATTCGTTGAGAAAACTGTGTATTTTGTATATGTAATCCCTGAAGAAACTGTGTATTTTTTATGTAATCCTTGAGAAAACTGTGTATTTTGTATATGTAATACTTGAAGAAACTGTGTATTTTGTATATGTAATACTTGAAGAAACTGTGTATTCTGTATATATAATCCTTGAGAAAACTGTGTACTTTGTATATGTAATACTTGAAGAAACTGTATATTCTGTAGGTTCTGTATTTAATTCTTGAAGGTAATATGGGTTACAGACACTTAGTCCTTGAAGAGACTGTTGATTCTGTATTTAATTCTTGAAGGTACTATGGGTTACAGACACTTAGTCCTTGAAGAAACTGTTGCTTCTGTAGGTTCTGTATTTAATTCTTGAAGGTACTATGGGTTACAGACACTTAGTCCTTGAAGACAGACACTTAGTACTTGAAAAACCTAAATATTTTGGTATATACAACCTAGAAAACATTTAAGATTTGAATGCCTAATGCATAGACATATTCCAATGTTAAACACGTTCACTTTATATACTACGAAAACAAATAATGTACTTTAGTAATAGTAAACTTACTGGAGTTTTTAGAAGTTTGTACGTCCATTTTGAAAATGCTAATAAACTAATCCACGAACTATCGTGTTTGTGACTGGAAAGGTTTACAAAACTCACTTACAGCCTTCTTGAATTTGAGCGCTTTTCTGTTCTTCTACATCGTAAAAATATAAACTTTATACAAACGAAATATAAGTATTTTTTTATTAAATGTGTTTTTTTGTGACAAATGCGATTCGTTAAATAAATTGTTTTGGTTGTATTTAATACAAAAAGAAAGTAATATATAACATTAATATTTTATTCCCTATAAAACCATCAACACTCCTGTTCTTTACGTAGAATACATTAAATAAAATACAATAAAGTCACAAGATAGAAAATACAATATTAACAAATAAAATTTATAGAAACCAAACAGTTACATTTATTGAACACTTTAATGTTTTAAACAAGAAAGAATCGTCAGGAAAATTTTATATGAATCTAATTAATTTCATATTATTAAACATAAATTGGTTTATTTCTTGCTTGTTCTTCATGGCCTAAAGATGTAGAATTTAAAACCCTATAAGCACTAAAATCGATCTGCTAAATTTAATTATAAGATTCATTACTCTTGTCAATATTTTTCTGATTAGCTCTGCATAAACTAGCTATACGAAACATCAGCCACATAATAATAGAACATTTTATTGACAAGAAAATGACAGAAAATAATTTGTAAATTTTCCTTGTTTGTTAAGGAATACTGCTAATATCAGGAACAGACGGTTTGTATTTCCCATAAGCTGATTTATTGGTTACACAGCCAAATGAAGAATTACCTTGATATTTTATTTCATTTGTTACTGCACTGACGATTACCAAAACACCGACAAAAAAATGAGGCAAAACTTAGTTATTCTAAATACAAGAAACAAACCAAAATCTTATTTTATGTTTAATTACATCAAATTTTGTTGTATTGAGAAAAATAATTTATTTCTTTTATATTAGAGAACGTGTAAGAAAAGGTCATTTTTACGTAGAGATCCCATGTAATATATCTTTAGTTTTGTCTCTCTATGTAATTAATAGTGTTTTCCTTTTCAAGCAAGGAGCAAACGATTCAACACAGTTGTATAATGAAAACAGGCACACTTACTGCCCTAAGTAACATAGTATCAACTTCATTGGTACGTTTTTCTATTGAACGTCTCGCAATATTAATTAATGACAAAGGCAATTAACACAGTTACAATAACAAAGAATTTTACTTCAGTTTACTGGAATTCCGAACAGTTTAATATTATAAGAACAATTCGAAATTAGCTTTATATTAATTCAATATTACAAACTATGATAATAAATTTTCCTTTAAAGAAGTCGTAATTATTTTCAAATATCAGTTACACTAAAGATTCAGGATGTGAGGAAAACACGTAGGTTCAAAGATTTAATTAAGAATACAAAATACTGTAACCCAAAGCTTCAAAAGATGAATCTTTCCTCATCAGGGACAAACTGGAGAAATTAAATAAATATTTTTAAACATACCTCATTCCCAAGCAAAATCTGTAGTCTCAAACAGAACCTGAAAAAGTTAGCCATAAGATAAAGTGAGAGATACTTGTTACTCCAACTTAGGTAATCAGAGAATAGTTCTGTAAAACACTATCACCTAGCAAACATATACAGTCAGTAAATGGATCTGTAAAACCCTTTTACCGTTTTACAGATCCATTTACTGACTGTATATGTTTGCTAGGCCTTTTACCTAGCAAACATATACAGTCAGTAAATGGATCTGTAAAACACTTTCACCTAGTAAATATATACAGTCAGTAAATGGATCTGTAAAACACTTTCACCTAGTAAATATATACAGTCAGTAAATGGATCTGTAAAACACTTTCACCTAGTAAATATATACAGTCAGTAAATGGATCTGTAAAACACTTTCACCT